ATATTATATATAACTACTCGCATATCTCATCCGTAATATTGCCAGAAACTCTGATACTGCCTATATTGTATCTATGCTGCGGTGGACCTGGAGGTTCTTATCTCTGCTACGGTGGAACCGAACAGGGCAGATCTCTGCAAAAAGGTTCTGGAGTATGCTACCTGGTGGACCTGTTTCCCGAGTTGGCCGCAAAGTGCAGCTCTTTCTTTACGGTTTCACTTGAGAACAAAGAACTGAGCACTCTCAGTTTCTCTCTGATACGACGTACCGGATTGCGGGCAGATTTTCATGGAGTCTCCTCGCGCCCTCGCGCGACCAGTTTATTCCAAAACGATTCCCGACTCACTTGACACAGTGGTAAGCCGAGATTTGTTTTGGATTGCTTCACACTGTTTAGCGACTGCAAGCGACGAAAATGCACTTTGATTCTCTTCAATTTTTATTACAAATATATCATACATACATCTTCACTTTGAGCATCGCATCAGAATGAAAAAAATAATAATGATATATATTTCTTTCTTACAACAATTCATAACAAAAATAAGCCGTACATACTTCTTTGATTTGATTTGAACACCTTCAATGTAAATGCAGTTTCCACTTTTGTATTAAATTATAAAATCTTAGTACAATATATTAGAATTAATCAAATTACTTCGCTTTCTTCGACACAGTTTTTTTCCTGCCCTCCATTTCTAAAACATTTGAATATCATAAATTATATTTAAACGTTCCTAGACATTATGAACAATATTCTTACCTTTTCTTTCTTTTAGAATCTCTTTTCTTCTTTCTTTAAATTGGATAGGTAAATTTTCTAACATACTGTCGATGAAATTGTCAATGACTATTGATCTGGTCATGGACGTTATAGGTGCTCTGCATACTGCACATATCTTTTTTTTCTTCATCCAACACTTTATACAGTACTGACAGTATGTGTGCATACAAGCTAATGTCGTTGCCTTCACAAATAATTCTGAACATATGCTACACGTTAACTGGTCATCCATTATATTGCTAATTTTATTAACTATATTCTCCTGTTGATCATCGACAGTTATAAGTTGAGAAACATCTGTCAGATCTATTTCATCTATAATTCGGTATTGTGGAGCATTATCTACAACTTCTAACAGTATGCAACTGTCATTGGGGTCCGCGTAAGAAGGTCCTGCGACTGTTTCAAAAATGATAATTAATTTATGAAATCTTAACAAAAATAGGAATTGAAATATTTATTGACGGAAAGATCATACTATTATTTTCTATCGTTTCTTGTACAGCTTCCTTTTCTTTTAAAGCTTTTTCCGTTTCTTGTAATCTTTTTTCCAAGACTATCTTTTCGTTCAACAGTTGAGCCTTGTCTTTCTCCTCCTTAACTTTATTTTCCATAAGACTAGTCATTTTTAGTTCTAACATTTCCTTCTCCAATTTAGTCACGTGTAACGCTTGCTGCCACTTCTGTTTCTCGACATCCAATTTTTTCTCAAATTCAAGCCTTTCATTCTCTAGCTTTTCTGACAATTCGGCAAAGAGCGTATTCAAATGTTGCATCAGGACGTTTCCTTGTTGTATTCGATTTTCCAATACAGCAATTTTATTTTTATATTCCTCGGCACAGTTCTTCGTAACATCCTGCTCCTTCAAAAGCATTTCTAGCTGTTGTTTTAATTCATCTTGCTCCTTCTGTTTCGTTTGCAATTTGTCTGTAAAAGCTTTCTTCTGACATTCTTGATTCTCAGCAAATGTCTTTTGTCTCATGAAAACGTCTGACATCAACAGTTCGTTATTCATCTTGGGTTTCTTGGGCTTGCACTGGTTTTCACGAAGTGCGAACAGATACGTATGTTTCTCTGACGTGCTCAGCTGTACAATGTCACCATTGTGGAGTATCTTACTTACACCAGGTGTGAGTGGAACGTTGTTAACGAACGTAACTGAAGAACTACAATCTGTAATGGCCCATTCCTCGTCTTCCTCACAAGTTAAAATACAGTGCCTCCTTGATATCAATGTATCCAAAATGATTTCATCGTTATCTCTAGAACGCCCTATCTTGAACTGTTAAAAAAGATTGTTTGTAGTATAAAAAGTAATAATGCACATAGAAAATCGTACGTGTTGATACCTCAGGTTTGTCAACGTGAATATCGTGGGACTCGCTAGATTTATCAATTCTCGATAAAGTGGGCCCAAATATGATTTCGTCCAAATCGCTCGATAGCGGTCTCTTCTGAACCGTTGAATGTTCCATCGTTCAAACTTACTCGTTCGTAAATACATAGACAAACGAATATCCCTTAATTCATGTTTGCGTTGTTTATAAATTTTAAGCATACACAGAAATGGGAAAGAAAACAAACAGAACTACTGTGTCACATTAAAAGCAAAAACAGCATGAAGTATATTTTCGATATTTCGATCGTTGACGCGATTCGATATATCGAATCGAGATGTCCAGCGGCACCTGCAGTGATCTTCAGGCAAGTTCAGTTTCAAAGTGAGACGTGAGTGCGCGGGTGAATAACGTTGAAACTTTATGAACAAATAAATAACAAAGTAATATAAATATTGTTTAAATAAAGATCATTGTCCGTAGTTTAGTGCTCAAGCAGAAGGGCAACTGTTTTCGATGTTTCCTCGGGAAGAAGATGGAGAGAGTAAAGGTACGTGCTCGTACTGATTGATTCAGATAATGTTTATTTGATAGGTATATAATACATTAAATTTGCCAGCACATGTGAGAGAAAACACAGTTTTCGGCGAATAATACTTGCTTCTTCTTATATTCGACACCTTCCAATTATTCCTATACTACTGCTACCGAACATCTCTTCTTGGAACGGAGTTTCTCTTTTTCTTTCCCCTAACATGAACCCTTCGCCCGACTACTCTTTCCTATAGTAGTCGGTTCGACAAGTCGCACCTGCATTAGCGTAATACATATCTGTGAGTTTGACGTTGTACATAAAAGGGAGTACAGACGATTGTATCGTTTCGTCGTTTAAAAGGAGTAACGTTGAGGATATTACCAGTTCCCGCCATTTTCCACGTCGTCGAGTATAAAACACTCAAACAAAATTTGAACGTTACAAAAACAAAAGTATTTAGTCTGATCGTTAATTACGATTCCTTCGTAAATGGGTTTTATTCTCGAATTCTTAAATAAACTGCGAGTAAACGAATTTCCAGTGTATCACGATAATCTTACTGTTCGATAAGCTGCCGATATCAATAACGATTAGGTTTCTTCGTTAAGCACAGCGAAATGACTCATCGACGTATTCTTCTTCGAGGACAGGATCGATACCGACGGTCGTTGTCTATTTACATTGTTTTGCATAAAGACTAATTAATTTATAAACATCGTTGTTATTTATGTACAGACGTAATATAAACGCATCGTACCTTATAAAAAGTGTCGCGATTGAAACAAACGGTGACCCGAATTCGATTTTGGTTGGTTTTGAAAAATGCTCGATTCGTGATCAGCCGGTAGCCCGTAACATCTATATCGACAAACAATTTACAATAGAACGCAATTAAACCCAACTTCTACGCGCATTTTTTCTATCTAAAGGACATGCACAGGTATACGCAGAAATCAAGTAAAGACGTTTATTTTTTTCCCTATCCACTCCTTGTATAAAACGAAAAATCCTTACTATCTACGATCGCAAGAAAAGTATAGTTCATAGTTACAAGATATAAATATATATTTATGTAGTGACGTAAGTACAATTCAGCACATCTGAATCGAAACATATCTGTTCACTCTTGGTGGCAATTGCAAGCACCAGAAAGCCAAGCTGGATAAATGTTTTCACGAGACAAAAGACATTTGCTGAGAATCAAGAATGTCAGAGGAAAGTTTTTACAGCAAGGAAATGTCCAGATTCAACATTTGAACACGCTTTGAAAAGATTACAAGAAACAGAAAAAGCTTTAAAAGAACAAGAAGCTTACTTCTTTTCCTTTCAAAGTTTCATCCGCTACCATAAGCGAACAGACATGCCTGTTTCTCTGATGTGCTGAGCTGTACAGTGTCACACTCACATTTTTTGTAATCTTTGCGAAGAGATCGTACAATATAATAGTATGATCTTTCTGTCAATGAGTATGTCAATTCCTGTGTTTGTTAAGATTTCATAAATTATCTTTTTTCGAACACTCGCAGGGTCTTCTTATGTGGACTTCAATGACATATCGATAGAAGTTGTACATAATCGTTCACAGTATCGAATTATAGATCAATGAATACATGTTTATATTTTGTAACTATGAACTACTGGTCCGTGTGTCGGTATGTATACACATATATTAAAAACCAAAACTTCTAAACAGCGAACGATCGCTCGTAACGCAAACCCTGGAACGGGTGAAGGCAAAGTTGTATACGAAGATAACAGAAGTCACGATTTAAAAAAAAAAAATAAGAGAAACATCACAATACCATAAAAAACATGGCCTCTAATCTACATATTTAAAGAAAGAGCTTCTTTATCTTCGACCAATCCCTGCCGGCGTGTAGTCACTTGAAAGTAGATTCTGATCAAGAACATGTACCTAGTAGTTTTCACGAAGGACATGGTTCTCATCGGTACAGGTACAGAAGTAATAGAAAAAGTGCGCGTACAACTTTCAAACAACCATGTGAACGTTCATTCTCGTAATAGGATATCATCGTATATCCTGAATCGCCACGAGAGATGCGCCGTATGATTACTCATTCAGATCGAGTTGTGTAAGCCCTTCGCAATCGAAATGTCACATAAGCGAGAGGACTGCGAGAACGTTACTTGATGGGTTTGCCCCAAGCGAATTGTATCGGCAAGGGACGAATGTCGCTGCTCGTCGACGATTCGTCCTCGCTGCTCGTGGCCGACGCCTCTTCAGAGATCATCGCTTCGCCGCCGGCTTCCTGAGGCATCTGGCCAGCTCCGCAATCTTCGACCGCTGCGGCAGCTTCCGCGACAGCAACGGCGACCGCGGAATTCGTGGTCACCGCCGACGCGGAAAAGGAGGACGTGGAGGAAGATGTAGACGAAGCCGAGGAAGGCGGGTCGCTTCTCGGTCTTCGTCGAGTCTTGGGCGTCGAGTTGAACGGCGGTACCCAAGAAGGTTCGTCGGAACGCGCCGAGTCCGTGACAGAAATACTCTTGGATCTTGCTCTCATGTCTACTGAAGGCCTCCTAGGCGTCAGCCTGAGCGACCCTTGCCTGGAGACCGTGGACGCCGAATCTGATCTGCTCGTCTTGGGTCCCGTCGCAGTCGGCGACGTGTCGGACCCTTTTGAGAATTCATCCTCGATCTCCAACGTCCACGAGACCGAATCTCCCTTCTCCACCATGAACTTCACCATAGACGTAGCTTGTGGACCGTTCTTGTCGGGTGTAAATGAATGCTCAATTTGCTCCGGTCCGAGGGAACGCGAGAGCCTAGGCAGGTTCGCAAGAACGGTCACCACTTCGTTTTTTTGACGCAACCTCCATTGGAGTTCCTCGTTGCGTTGCGACAGGCGCTTGTTCTGCTTCGAGATCTGATGAATCGACTCGTGAAGCAGCTCGTTGTCGTGCGACAGTTGCCTCTCGAGGGTCTCCTTGCACTGAATCTGCGCCTTCAGATCTTCGCATCGAGCCTCGAATGCGTCGACCCGCTGTTGCAAGGCTTCCTTGTCTTCGATCTCTCGCCTGCTGTTGTCGAGCTCCGACCTCAGCGCAGCGATCTCTTGACTCTTGATTTCTAGTACCGAGCGCAGGGACTCGACTTCGGCGATGAGCGCTGCGCCTTGGTCGTGAACGACGGACTTCCTCTTGAACTCCGATTCCTTTCGCAGCAACTCAGCCTCTTGTTCCGCTCGCAGTTTCGTGACCGCGGCCCGATGCTCCTTCGCGGCCTCGTTCAAGGAATCCCGTAGCCTGACCTCGCATCTTCGGCTCTCCTCCTGAAGGGCCGCCTCCAAGATCGCGATCTGCTCCGCGTGACGAGCCTCGACTGTGAAAAGCAAATTTTCCCTGTAGCAACGATCGACGTCAACGGCATAGATCGGAGAACGGAAGAAAAACAAAGTCAGATGGAACGAAGGAAGACGGATCAAGTCGAACGTGCCAGCCTATAATTAACCGCGATGGACGTTACGTGGCCACTAAATCGAGCCTTTGTGATGTACGGCCGTCTGTCCACTTTTGAAAATTCTGTCTCTGAATTATTTAAGCCCGCGCGCACAGCCGGGCCGCGTAGGCACGGCTGCCTCGCAGATTTTAATTAACAATTGCTCCACTTTAAACCTCAGCTATTTGCCACGATCGCCGAGACGATTACGCTCGCTACCGAGAATATGATTAGCATATTCTACGGACGCGAAGCAGACGTTCGTAATTTCGATGACACAGGGAAGAATTCTCCCGTGACGCGTTGGTAAAGAATTTGACGTTAAAATTTTAAAAACGTTTGTACGCCGTATCGAGCCAGGAAACTAAAAGTTACACAAATAATTCTTGGCAACACTTACGATCTTCACGAAGCTGGTCCAAGGCTCTCCGATGATCCTCTCTCTCCGACTCGAGCCTCTCTTCAATGCCGAGGTTTCTAGTTCTCAAATCTTCTATCTCCGTGCACGAAGCCAACCATTCCTTCTTCATGTTCTCGCAATCCTTCTTTAATTTTGGAGTAGAAAAGGCGTCCAACTGCGAGTCAAATTAAAGAAACATTATCCGATCGTCCACTTCATATTTTGAGGAATTTACATTTTCTCTGGTTCATAATTACGACCGAAACGTACCTCGTAGGCCAAATACTGAACGGTGATAGAAAGAGCTTCTATGACTTGTTCCGCTCGTTTCACTTGAAGCGCGTCGTACGGTATGTCGGTTTGTGCGGCCTGATCTCGCGTCTCTAAAGACGCCCTTGTGACCATATAGGCATTATTGTGCTCCTTGGTTTCGCGATCTGCAACCAATGCCACCGGTCCCATCACCATCACGATTCCTCCTCAAAGATCGTTTGAAAATTATGATTCGAGCCGACGAATGCTCCCCGGTTCATTCGTTCATGTTAGCATCGACAGTCTTCAAGTGACTCCGTCGTTATCGATACGAAGAATATGGTCCACGGTCATTCTCCGGCGTCGAACGGGTCATAGCGACGAAAGTAGAGGACTACTGGGCGCCTGTACAAGACTGACTGCTCCCAGTCATCTTACACCGATAGATTTCGATGGTAGATCGAAGAAAGTTCGACGGAAAACTCGTTTCAGTAGAGAAAACCGTTTACTCCAGTCTTGGAAAGTCGGGCTACCTGTTTTTCAGGATGCTCCCGCTCGAATTGACCCCGACGCGGCGCGTCGTCGTGGAAATAAAAGAGAAAACACGTCTGACACGCGGGAAATTTCGCGCGAACATTCGACTGCCGGTAATTAAATCGTAACGATCGTTTGGCTCGACTGCGTCAGCTCATCCTCCCATTATCGATGATAAGCGTACGTGAAAGCACGCGGGTGCATCCGTCGAGCTAAAAAAGAATCGCCACCGATCGAATTTAATCCCCGACGGGGCCAACCCGTTCGAAATACGTCCAAGAGCACGAGCCAGTCAATGAAAAGACGCCCGGGTTAAGGTCGGCCGTGCGACAACCGTGGCGCGGACACGGGAAATCAAGAAAAATTCCACGAGAACGTCGAGATTCCGAGTTTCCTCGAAACGGGCCGGATTATTTTCGGCAATGGACTACGCAACATCGAACGCTTATCGCTGCCACTTTTGTTTATACTTGGATCTCGCTCCTTCGTCGAATCGATTTTTCCGCGATGTTCCTTCGACTTTCGAACATTTTCCACTGAGAATTCCTCGGATCACGTTCGTTTTTCCCTCAGGAAAATAGAAGAAAACAAGAACTTCCCTCTGTGAAGAATCTCGCACGTGCACTCGGCACAATGAGATCCACCCGTGAAATTCACATGAGCGATTCGGGTGAGAAACGCGGACGAACTCGATCACATCGAACAACGATGATCGAGCGATTGAAAACATGAGAGAGAGGCCTAATCGGGATCGTCATTTGTAACGATTTGCTGGCCAAGTCCGCACTTCGACTGAATTAGCACGAGCCACAGGCTGCCTCGCACCGCGATATATCCCTCCTTCCTCTCGTCGACCACTCCTACCACCTTGAAACGAGGTGCAACCTCGAAGAAGACGATGGACACGCGGAAAGCCGGACCGGACACGCGCTCTACGCACACGACTCGAATATGACCCACAATGTCTGCATACGTTTCCATAATTGCCTTCATATACCCTCATTTTTCATCCGAAGGAGCTTCCACGAAACCGAAGTTAAACGTCATTAACATAAACACCTGAAGATCATGCTCGGTTGGCTTAATTACAAGCTCCCGGTTCATGAAAAGGAGGACGGCGCAACGTTGTTCGATCTAACGGAAGAGGTGAGGCTGTAGAAGAAGATGAAAACCGGCTGGCGATGAATTATCGCGAAACGGGCGTGCCCCGAATAAATTTCGCTTTTCTATTTGGAATCGGTTACCTGTAAATGGTAGCGGGCGACCGTATTCGTACGAAACACCGGCGTACGTGTCTACGGATATGATTGAAGATAATGATCCGAACGATCGACGATCGATAGCCCTCTTCCGTTTGCAAACAATTGTTAATTCCGCTCGCAAATATCTGTTTCGTCACATGCCAACGTAATTACGAGACTCAACTATCTGAACGGAACCTCTTTCCAATCACCAGTTTCCAGTCGAACGAGTCGTAAAGATAAAGACGAATGTGCAGTTCGGAAATGCCCTTGAAAATCTGCTGAAATCCTGAGCAACCATTTCTGACTGATCAATGTACATATCTTAGTCGCTTCATGAATGATTAATGGGATAATACATTAAAAGGAAAGGAAGTGCAAGAGCGTGACTCGTAGAAACTCGACCCGCAATTCGGTGTTTTCTAGGACGTGGTCATTGATAATAATCTTTATCTTCGTTCCACATAAACACGTACGCGCCTCTCGTCTCGGCGATGATCGTTCGATTTCTAATTAACGGAAATGCTTGAAAGCGTTAAACTATTAAACGGAAGCAGACGATTCTCAAAATAAGGATGTAAAACTCTTGTAAACCGTCTTGCGAGGGATCACTTTCGCCGGGTTACACCCGTTTCTCTACGACGCCCGTTCCCGCGGATTGCCCCGCGGGTTTTTCAGCACCTCGCGGGCACAGAGTTTAGTGCCGAGGACCAGTGAAAGCTAGGACTTTCATCACAAGTTGCGCTATGGGATACGCACGTGTGCGTCCTCGTGCATGCGGAGAAACGGTCGTACGCACCGCAAAATGACCGTGGGACTTTTTTAGAAACCTGCTACCGCGGCCAATGAATTAGAAAGCATGACCTGCCGACGTTTCCTCCCGGTGTTATCTTCTTCGAAAGATACGCAGGATGTAATTTAGGTACGCGTACGTAAATTAGTTTCGATCGAATCAAAACTTAGAATCATGTATGATTGATATAAATCAAGAAATAAAATCGTATCAAATACATAAATTGAATAATATAGAATTGTATCACGGGTTCGTAAAGGACGTGAAAGAGGATTAGAGGGATGTTTGCAAATATCGACGATGTAGCGATTTCAATTGAGATATCATAATCTTTTTCTACCTTTTGATGATGCCGTTGAACCGTGCTGCTTTGCCGGTACAATTGTCGTTCTCCTCGTAATCGTCGGCTTTCGGCTAGCCGACGGGCTCTTCTCTGGAAACAGAATTCGCTCCGTTAACGAGAGCACGTTACACATACTCCGTTTAAATGATGTCTTATCGAGTCCGCAAGTACCGTACACTGCGAACCGTTTAACCGTTCGCATGTGTACACACAGAGAGTACGAGCACGACGAACAATTCTATGTCAACCGTCCCTTTCACAATACAAGAACTGAATTTGGACACGAGCACAAGGAACGATTTTTATATCGACGCTCCGATCCACGATGGAAAGATCGAATTTTTAGACGAAACGAAATGCCGACACCGAATTAAACGAAGCGCACGGAAATAATAGATTAAATCGACGTTTACTGTAACACGAGTCGATCATGGTTACTCGTGGCTTCCGGCCGCGGAACCTAGGCACGGTCCCTGTCCTGTAGCTATTCTCTCGCATAATCGGTGTCTGCGATCGTCGGACCACATTCGGAAGTCGCGTAACAATGCCGATCACGGAGCTCCCTCGTAAAACAAGTTCGCAGATCACGTCCCCGGCTGGAATATTTTCAACGACCCGCGCGAGGCACGTAGAACGACCAGACTGAGTGGCACATGCTGTTGTTTCCCCGTTAAACGTCTACGAGAGACTGAGGGACCGTCTGATACGGATCCGACACGGTCGGGGGTTCAAAACGAGAGAGCTAGGGGTGCATACCGTTACGATACTGACCCGACTACGCGAACAATGCCACAGTGGGTTTACGCCCACGGGTAATTATCGCGACGACGCGTCGTCGCCGGGCCGTGGCGTCGCTACAATTTTGAATACGACCTCACGCCAATCGAGTTTCTTCGTTTCACAAAGAAAACGTAATCGATAACGGTCAATGAAGTTTCAACTAATTATTTTTCCCACCGTGGAATTGGACTTCGGTCGGACTTGCGATTATCACGATGATACTCATAAATCGATCGGAAATAACATCGGACGAATCGAGCATGGCTACTTGCCAGTTATCTTCAATGCTACGTCTTCTCGAAAATAAATGGAGAACATGCATCGACGACACGTTGCACTTGATGCGAGCGAGAATTGATTTTCGAATGAACATCGCACCTTCTGATCTTTTGACGAGCGTCGGTCGCCCGTTATCATCGTACACGAGTCGCATAGGGGCAGGCGTTCAAAGAAAAAGCGTTCCAGGTCTCCGACCGGAAGCACGCAGCGGTGCCCTCGACCTTTCGTTTCCTCCGTTCAATCAGCGGACCAGGAGGCTCGTTTTATATGAGTACGTACGTACGCACACGTGACCGCGGTAATATGCGACGATACTCGTCGGACAATTTAGGGTACTACCCTCTGACACTCACCAAGATTGATCGGCGAAATTTCGACGCAGTTCTTCTTCGTGTCGAAACTGTTGACACGATTCGGCTGACTGCTACCGCGGCCGTTTGCTACCAGTCTTCTTGGCGGGTTCACTGACGTTGGCGATCTCTCTGAATAACAAAATTATTCATCCGTCGTATAATTGATTCTTAGACTTCATGCGAAATAGAGTGTAATATGAATTTACAAAATGAAAATATAGGAATTTCTTCATCCATTTGCCGTTCTCCAAATTAGACATCGTGGTCAATTTTTATATACATATATTTTGTGTAGATACAATTTTTCTACATTTGTAGGACTCTTGTAGTATGTCATTTTTCATCGGATCGGAAATTACGCAAAACGTTTTCATAACTCATTGCGTTACGTGTCAAACGGTTCATCGACCGTGGAATTTCGTTTCCTCAGATGTTACTTTAATAAATTTCATAGGAATTCGTGCACGACGGGGTAATATAGCGGGACGAGGACGCTGAGCCTGAAGCATGCTCGTCCATTAGGCCGACGAGGAAAAGAAAATGTTTATTATGTACACCAAGTTGCACGTTGCCTACGAGCTCCTGCATTATAACGGGCACCCGCGTGTGCATAATTCGTATCTTTACACGTGAAGGAAACTAGTCTACTAATTTAAACAAAAAATGTTTAAACGAAAGTTCATTTTGTCAAAAAGAAAAAATTTTTATACGGAAGTTGTAGGCCCTGACGTCTTCTACAAGAAAGATTCTATCAATTTTTCATCTAACTTCGATATTTAACGAGTTACATATGATTATTTGGCATTTTATTAACGTTGACAAAATCCGACCATTCCAGCGTCGAATCAGCGAACTTTTGGAAAAAAATTTCGTTTTTCCTGAATAACTCCTAAACTGTTCAAGATACGGGAAAATTGCATAGTACCTTTTTTGTAGAGGACGACGAGATCTACAATTTCTGTATAAAATCGATGAATTATTTCGTTCATCGCTAGTTACTCTTTAACGAGTAGTTTATACGATCGGTTCAGCATCGACGAGTGTTTTGTTTTCAATCTCTTACTTCGATGGCAACATATTCTATAGGGCGTCGAAAATTGCAGACTTCTTCGTAGACACAAAGTCCCATAAGACTACTACTCTTTAATAATTTCTCCTCGGTGTAGTCGAGCAAATATTCAGGACACGACGTTGCGATAATCGATAGCCGTTAAGTAATAATTCTACGCCTGCCTAGTAACGTCGATATTAATTGTAAATCAAACCATACAGTCGTGAACCAGCTTGTTATCAGAGCTACATATAAAATGTATTATACGATGACTCGTTCATTCATTCGTTCCTATCGAACAAAGTTCGATATTTTTTATTGTTAATAGGTGATAATAAGAAAAATGCCTGCCTGTTACGGTTGTGATATAATCGGCGAACTACTTTCTGACAGATTCCTCAAATAACAGTGATCGATGGCTAGGGTAAAAGAGAAACGTGTAAGTAGGGTACCTTTGATCCTACCCCGTGACAATTTAGAGCTGAAGAGAAACCGTCCGACCTATCTGCCTCTTCGAATGCCTATGCAACGCGACACACTCGCGTCGTTCGAACTTTCTACCGTTAAATGAGGCACGAAGAAAAAGAACTCGTCCTTTTTCCTCGTTTTTCGTGAAACGAGATTAAAGGATTAACGGGGACAGGCTGGTCGGCGCCAGGTTTCCGTCCGGTTTTACCTCGCTTGAAACTGCCGAGCCGCATTTTCGCCGAGTCCCTCACGAAATCCGTGCGGAGTGCCGCCGGTCGTCCCTTCGAACCTTGTTGACCCATTTCGGTCTCTCAGTGTTCCATCCTCTGTAAAATTGCGTGAGTCCGTCCGGCTAGCGGAAGTCGCTTCACCCGGTGGTCGTAGAGCCCGCAGCGAGGCCTGGTAGCCAGGTCGACACCGCGTACGCGCACTGGCATCGTGCAGAACCACGATCACCCGGCATATTACCAATTTCAAACGTCCTCCTCCGCGAGCACCATCCACACCAATTAGCTGTAATTCGCAGCAGCAGCGTCCGCCGTTATGCGACTTCGTCTCTGTTCGACGATCTGATACGAAACGTACGTATCGGCGGGTTCGATTCCAATTGACCTGAATCCGTGCGACGACGGTGCGCAACGAACGAATAGTCTTTCACCGGCACGATCGACGATGGTCCTCGAACCATGTGGGTTCACCATCTGACTCCGATTGCGTAAGTGAGAGAGACCGGGTGCGCGTACCGGTGGTCGTCGGCCTTGGGAACGCACGTGGTCGCCGGGTGCACCTGTCTAAAAGGGTGGGGACACCACCGAAGGACGCGCGAGTATTACGACAAGCTGGCCAGTTGAAGAAAGGCAATGCCGGAAATAAACCACTGGTGCCGTTGACCCGTGAGCTCGTCCCGAAGCTGCCGAAGAAGACGTTAGACCCGCGAGCACTCCGATCTCGAGTCTCTTCTTCTATTCTTCGCTCGGGCTCCGAACAGGAACGTAGCCAGAGATTCCTTCCGTAACGGTATATCTTGGGAAACTTTCATTGGCGTGCAGTAGAGAAGGGGACTGCAAAATCCAGTCTCGTTCGGTCTTGCGGTTCAGGTACCTCCGGGCGATCGAAGCGAACATGCGACGGATGTAGCACGGGGTCTCTCTCTCGTTCGAACATCGAGTGAGAAGAAACGCGAACGTTCCCGTGACACGTATAGGAAATCAGGTCACGTCGAGTGTGCTCGAAACGGAGCACGTAATCGTCTCGCGAGAAAAGGAGGGTGTCGAGGATCCGGGAGGACCGACACGAGAAAACAAACAGAATCTAGTAGAGGAACAGAGGAACGTCTCGCACCACAGCTCCGATGCACTTTGCACCGTCACCTTGCTGCGTTCACTGACGACGATGCACCGGCTGTTCGCTATTGCAGCCGTCCTTCTTTTTCTCGCGCACACTGATCCTCTTCGCGCACGTACTCTCGATAGAATCGCTGTGACCCGAATGGGGTAGAGCGAGAGATCGTGAGAAAATGGGGACGGGGAGCGAGAGAGAGGCGGAACAGGCAGCGGCACCGCGACCGATCTAAAGGGGTGGAAAAGAGAGAGGAGAAATGGGAGACCGGAAATGCAACGCGCGTGCATAAACAGCGTCCGAGCGAGCACGAGGTCCGCCGAGGACTGCCGACGCCGAAGACTGGATTGGACGGATGCTGAAGTCGTGGTCGAGGCTGCTGCTCGCGCCTGTCTCGATCCGATGGAAGCGAAAACTGTCCAGTGGCGCCGGAAGCGAGGGCACCCGACAGGCGCCCTCGCCTCGCCTTCTTTGTCGCCGTAAGATCAGCGCCAAGCAACGAACCGGTCAATACAAAACACCCTCCTACGCCCAGTTTTACGGCCACCCCACCATCGCTACGTTCGGCGACCGTCTGCGACTTCGCACGAATCAAAACCACGTGCGCTTACGCATTGCAGCGTGAGAAATGTCAAATTATTATTCTCAACTTTCGTTTTCAAACCGACGTCTTTGATCGATCGTCAGCATCTTCGTGTTCGCGTTGCGGTATCGGTGCCAATTTCAAATTGGCAACATAGTTCGAAAACTGCATTCGAGAATACATCGATTATAAAACGGCGCTTTTTATTCAAACGTCGGGATTATATTTCGGGGGTCAGCGTTGATAGGATCTTTCCAAGGGAAAATCGTTTCTGAATCTCGTAGAAACAAAACGTATTGACTGAAGCGTTTTAACTATGCAAAACATTTGCCTGTCGACCTTTGCGGTTACGAGTCGTTCGAATTTTTTACGAAACGCATTGTATGCGGTCGGACATAATTCGATATCGCAAAATCAATCGGCATCATATTTATTCGAGCTCCGCAAGGTCTTCCCGTTCATACAACTACGATACTACTCTGCATATACGCAACCTACCTCTCTGTCAATCATTGTATTCAAATCCACGGATTCCCTGACTAATATTCTAAACTACGCGTTACGCATACTTATTAAGCGTTATCAGCAATAGTGAATTGAACTTACTTGGTGCGTCTTTGGGAGGTCCGCTGCTTAGATCGCTCAGGGAGCTTCGAACGGAGCTCCTGGCAGTTTCTTGAATCGGCGATTTCATTTCTTGTCGGCCTCGCGCTCGCCTAATAATTAAATTTCTTAGCAAATACGTACAACGACGAGGTTTCGATCACCAACGACCAACGTCTCACCTCTTATCTTTATTATTATTATTGTTCGTATCGCCGACTTTCTTTTGAGCCGATGCAGCAGAGGACGGTTGCCCAATAGTCTGAGATATCCTCGATTTCACTTCTTTCCGAACTGATCTGCCCTTGACCCTTTGCTCGTTCTTCCCCGCTTCGATCTTACTCATGACAGCGTCCCAGCGCCCACCCTTCCTAGATCTCTGCGATCGACGAGCCTCCTTCTCTGCCTCGTCCTTCGGTCCAGACTCGATCATCGCTTTGATCTTCGAGACGACGTTCCTTTTGGGCATTTTATACTTCTTCAAAGTCGAGGAGTCCGTCTTGCCTTGCACCTTCGTCCTGTCACTACTTCTCACCTCGATCACCGTCACGTCGGCAGGGTTCGGCGAACCACTGTTGTCACCCGATGAATCGAGATTCGAAGTGACCTAATCATTGATCCATTCGTTATACGTCAACCATACTCTTATACGTTCGGGTGAATAAATACATTTACCTGTAGGTAATCCATGATGACTTCCGGCTTGACCGGCGTCAACTGGCTCCTCTGAGACACCTCCGTGTCGATAGTGTCCGGGGTGTGGCCTTCGTTTTCCTCCACAGCTTCCTCGGGCGCGTGAAGGTCGTCCTGCCTCTTGTCGAGATCCGAATAAATCCCGCTGGAGTCCATCTCCTCCGCGGTGAAACTCGGACATCTTCGACCACCCGGCGCGCAGAACAAGGTCCCGTCGATCACCTGTGCCTTTCTATCCCCGCGCACGATTTCCTCGTACGCGTCGGCATCGCTCTCCGTGAAGAAGTCCGAGTCCGTCATCGGATCCTGCCTGCAAGGCACCGGTAGGTTCGGCGGCGGTGCGACGGACGGAGGATCGGCCCCGCGGCTTGCTGGCCGCGAGTTCTCGCCGTCGCCCTGATAACCAGCTTCCAGACTGGTGATGCTCGTAACGGACGTGACGAAACTGATGGGCACGGTACCGCGTATCGGTTCCGTCGGCTTTGGGTCTAGCGGCAGCTCCTCCGGCGACGGTGTCCTCTCGCTGGACGCCTCCTCCGTCGGCTCGGCCTCTGCCGACGGTCTCGACGCGGACGCGCGCGTCAACGCCAATCGCGAGCCTCCGGAGCCTGTGATGTTTTCGCAGGATGGTGTCCTGGAGCACTCTAGCGCGACCGTGAAGTCGGTCATCTGGTCGGGAGTCAGAATGCCGAGACTTTCGTCGTGCTCGAACGAGTTCTGCTTGTTGAGCATCAAATAGTGCGGCGTAGCGTTCACCGCATTACCGCCGTCGTAGTTGCCCAGAGTCGCGTCCAGCAGGCAGGTGTCGCCGACGTTTTCGATCATACTCAGCTGAGAGTTCTCGAGCAAACTGTACAACAGTTAATGAAAGGTTTCATAAAAAGTGGCAGTCAAAGGATCTTTAGCTGCAGATGTTTTGATTGAACAGGACGCTTTGAATTACGCCAGTGATTTAAAGTATGTACCTGGCCCACCCGGATAGACACGTGTTTGCACTTCTACTCCCTATTATATTTCGACAGTAAACTCCGGCTAAATTACACCCGTCGTAAACGTAACTTCGGCATTCTTATTCATCGCTACTACCAAAGGGAAATATTTTCGTTCCGCGGAATCCAAAACACGTGTGCGAAGTAACGTACCTGAAGAAGCTGCTCTTTTCTTCGGCAAAGTGAACCAGCTGGTGCACGTCATCTTTGTCGGCGTCCCAGACAGGCGATATCGTGTACGTTTTGCTACTCGGGTCTGTCGATCAAAATTTGTGTACACTTCCGGTCTTGCAAACAGTCAAGTTCTTATAAATGAAAAATAATTACCTTGAGGTGTACTGACAGTTCGCACCGCGCACTTTTTAATTGGCTCGTTCTCAGCATCGACGAACTGCAAACATCCCGATAGGAACGAGCGGCGGTGGTTGGACACGATCGGTGGCGTGCCCAGCACTCTTGATTTCGGGAAGAACGACGGCCTCGCCGCTCGAGGAACTGGTATTCGGCTCTCCCCTACGTTCTGCAATCATACACACAAAATGATAAATACGCCGTCGCGCGCAAACTGGGTTACCGGCAAAACTATTTCACGCATCCGTGTTAGCTCGGCCGACAGGCACACATTCCGTCGAGAGAATCACGAATTCCTTCATTTATTCCTCTAATTAGTCAGATCGTTCCATAGCCTGAAGCTCCCGGCTAAGTGAACATGGCCAGCACTTTAATCGCATTTCAACCAATCGAATTAAATCCAACGAACACTTCGCGGCAATGTGCGTATCCTCTACTACAAGAATCTGGTAATACTGATTTGTCTTTCGATTTTCTACACGAAAGTCGCTTATGTTCCATCGGTCGAAGTACAGTTCTAAAATTCATTAGATTTTACTACGATGTTCGACTCGATGGGACGTTCTTCAGGTTTGTTGGTAAATGAACGTAAGGGTCAAAGGCAGTGATGGGTTCCCGATTCATGTCATGAATTTTCTACAACCGAAGTAGAAAACTGAAGCATGAGTCGAGAACCCATCACTGGTCAAAGGGCAAGATACTTTAATTGAGACTGGCGATAGAGCAAAATGATCGATTTTTTCAAGGTCGGTCGAAAAACTCGACCCGAAGAGTCCGTTGCCCTTGGCCCATCTCCAAATAAAACCCTAAAGTTCCGAGGTGAATCAGAAGTGTCTCCGAGTCTGCGGCTAATTTAATTTTAGCCACGGTTCGACTTTCTCGCGGCTACCTTTAACTACCCGAAGTGTTTCTCGACGTAAGAACACGCGTAACGCGTTATAACCCCGAGTTTAACGTGCAACGAACGTTGCTCGGTGGTCGATTAGCTTTATCGTTGGACCGCGAATCCGCCTCGCGTTTAATCGCGTCCCCCATGTGTACTTTAGAGTCGACGGCAAACAACGGGAGGTTCCCTATCAAACTATGAATGCCATTTACTCGAGATTCAGTTGATAAAAGAGATTAGACTCGCCGGAGTCTTTGTAACGGCAGGCCAGAAGAGGTTGACTCGTCGTACTAATAATAGTATTAGCCGATGGCCAAAGCTCGAACCGAGGTGCCGAGAGTAACAGAGTGCGTTCACCGACGACCCTGTTGAACGACGTCGTCGGCTGAGAACTGGGTTACATCGCCCGCGAGTTTACTATAATGCAAACTCGCTGCCTCGTCGATGCGTACCGCGCACGCGAGCCGCGTGTACAGAATTCTCTATGTATTTCTACATACAGTTCGTCCTCAGAGGCTGACATCAACCGTTCCGTCTCGCCTTTTACACGGAAACGATAAATAATTCAACAATCGTGAATTATCATGTTAAAGATACGCTAGCCTCGTTTTCTATCGACAATCCGCGTTTTTTTGCCCCGGCCGCTTCTGAATTAATCGATGCCCGGTTTTTATCGATCTAGGAAAATGTCACGGTCGAAGATGCCAGGCAGGGAACGAAATCGAGACGTTGAATATTGTACCGAGCTCGTGAGCGTCGAGGAGCAAAGGCCAGGCCCGCAAGCATAACTTTATTCTATTAGGCCTTAATTCGTGCCAATTCGAGCCCGCCTACTAGCCGCGGCTGTTATCACTCGCCACGCGAGACGAGGCAACTGTGTTAATTACGAGTTCGTTTAGTTCAGATCTTTGTCGATACGTAACGGAATCACTGCGAATCTCGACGGCGGAATACCGTCGATTGAAAAAGAGCGTCGTTACACTCGGCGGCCACGTGCGAAATGTTATTTTTGCTCGATTAGCGAAAAATACTTGAAACGCTTTCTACAAGCAGAAACACTTTCTAAAAGGTCGCCGCGTACGGATAGCGGATACTCGTCGTCCTACCTCAACAGGACGTCGTCGCTTACTCGAATCGATGAAAGACACCGGTAAAAGGTGCGTTTCCGGTTTTACATAATTTCATCGGCTAACGAGCGAATCTTCGTTCGGCGACGAGATCGCAGTTTGCTTGATCCGCGGCCACGTAAGTGACTAAGACACGTGATGTTGTGATAGCGATACCGTAGCGGTATAATTCCGGTTTGTAATTTGAATAGAGAATTGATCGCGACACCTGCGCCTGCGGCTCCAACGTGACCAAGCATATAAACACCCGTACGATAAGATACGGGCGAAGGTCCGACGCGGAAAAACTGAATCTTCATTGCCGAACTAACGTCCGCGTCGCGTTATGACGGCGCGTCGTAAAAGCGGAACGTGATCGAACGTTAACTCAGTTTGCTTGCGTAATCGGTCTGAGTACACACCGAATTCGACACGCGAAGCGTGAAGAACGGCAAGTCGATTCCCTCGTTTGCATCGTGTGGAAATAAAAACGAGAAAATCACGCGATCGAAGCTGTCCAACTCACGTTCGACGTGCCTCCTCCTCGCTCATAATCCCGATTCCACTTTCCCCGGCCGCACAAAAACACTCCCGCTCGGAACAGTCGACTAGAAGACTATTAATAAAACCACTGAGTCACCGGGACCGGGACTCACCGATGTTCGGTGACGCGCATATTCGGGAGGGTATCCCGGTTTTGCAACGGCGGGAAACAAAGTTTTTCCGAATGGAAAGCGCGCGGTCGGCTTCGGATCGATCGCGTTGCGCCCGCCGCGTGTACGACAATGAAAACGTTCCGGATTCGCTCGGTGATCCCCTGGTACTACCTATGTACCACCACCGCACCGCGAACATCCACACCGATACGCGATATCGTGTGCGTGCCTGAGTACAAACGCGTGTTCGCGTGCATACACCTTCGCCTAGCGAGCGGCGCGGACTGACACTCCGCAACAACGATTACTATTCTTCAGAAACACACGGTTTCTGCATTCACCGGCCCGTGAATCCGTATAGGAGCGGGCGAGCATGGTGTACACACGGGGACTCGCACACGGTGAACGTCATCAGCCCGGGAACAAGGCTGAACTCTTGCCGACTTGCCTGGCCGCATGATTTTTTTCCCGTACTCCAACGTACTCTCCTTGGTGTAATTAGCGACACGTTCTCATGGAACCTATTTGTTCTGAACGGAACTTTGTTCTTATCCGATGGAGCGCAGGTGTAGAAAGTGGGAAATTCTTGCTTGCGCACTGTGGTCACTGGTCGTAAGAGAAAATAACGCGTAGTTTTCTGTTAAATGGAAACGTAAACCGATCCGAGGTCAATATTTAATTTACATGTGACAAAAGAGCAAACGTGCATCTGCACAGAATTTTGTGTCCCACGGGATCTTTCGGGCAGAGGACATTTTCTGTTGAACGACCGATATCGAGAAAATTCATACGCACGATGATGCGTTAGAGAAGTGCAAGGAAGTACGGTAAACGTAAGAGACGACTTTCACCAACGATTATCTGCACTGTACACACGATAAGATCGAACTACCGATGCTTGATAAAACTAACGAGTGAAGTCACGTGTTGTACGCGTAATCGTACGATGCAAAGCGACGTAATAGAAAAATACCTGACACGACGGATACGACTTAGCCCGAAAATCGGTTCTGGAATTAACTGGCGCAGGACTACGTTTCGCAATTTCACGACGCTTCGTAATTAAATGTTTCGCCGGCCGATCCCTTTGTGTCTGACACGTTTATCGATTTTAGGATCGAATTCGTTCTATAGCTACGCGACCGGTCCTCGTCGACCTTTATACACATCCGTTCCTACTTCCCGCCGTGTAAAAATCCCCGAGGACCTTGAAAGGCCTCTCCCTAGCCTCGACATGCCGACTGGCCAAGTCGGTACATTTTCATGCAATGTCGCATATACGCGAGAAACTTCTCTCTGACCGAGGGACCTATCTTCCAATAAAATCGTCCCAGTCCGATTGTCCTTCCACTACGTCCGACCTATGCGAGACGGACGCGTTTCGAAATCGCTAGCAATAGAATTTCTCTCGTACATTTATTTACATTGCAAATTCATATATCTATGAGCTGAAGAGAGCTTTCACAACGTCGATGCACCTGCTTTAATTATGCGCCGTGGAATAATTTACGCAGCAAATCTCCTTTCAAGACGCGTCATTAAGAATCAGTCCTCTCAGCGTTACGCGTCTAATTCTGCGACGCGTAGAAAATCGCAAATTACGATAGAACGTTTCACAGCGAAATAAAAAAGAAGCAACTGTCCTGATGATTATCGGTTCAGCCACCCCGATAAGATCTACGAACGTTCGCGCTTCTGGACAGAAATATAATGCCGGTTGACCGCGATTCACCGCGTTTTCGTGCCAACTATCATATAAATATATGTAGGACCACTCGAAACCACGGTCCAGGTGCCGTTCGGCAAATTTTCTGGGAACCGCGAGACTCGTACTCGATCCCCGGGTACACTCGATTTGCAGTCGGTGCACGGATAGAAAAAAAGTCTGTCCGCACATGTACCGGTTTCGTATAAACGCGCACGTCTCCGGAGGACCGTTAAACACGGTGAAAATTTAATGATGAAAGCACCTCGCGCTGGATAATAGGTCACTCAGCTTTTACGACTCGCGTGTCTCTTCTCTTCTAGCCGTACATCTGACGTGGTCGCCGATTGTTACACGACGTCTTATGATCGATTACGCCACGAGCAATCTATCGGTAATTGATTCCATCGATCATGTCAGCCGAATCATTTTAAGTCGTGTCGCAATCGCTCCGATCCGATATGCACCGATGCGTCTGCATTCTTTTCGTCCATCGTTCGCGAAACATTTTTGAAATATATGTAATATAAGTAATTTAAGTAAAGTGGACTGAGAAGCATTAACTCGGTGTTGACCGTGCGAGGCACGTATGACACTGCTCATCGATCACAAAAACTCGTAACGTAGCTAAGGTGTACGTGACACGTAAATATTGCGCATCGGATATTGAATTAAAAAATGGTATAAAAGAAACAGTAACGCGGTTATTACCAGCGTGAATTATCGCTTTGCTCTCACGTTTCATTTGTAAAATGGGTTGCAGTTAAGAAAATTTCTTGAATCCACAAATAAAATATCTGATCGTCACGGTTTCCGCACTACTGCGAGTTATTAAGTGTTTACGGTTCTCTACGATTTTGTACGCGACTGGCAATGAAACCGTGCTATCTCTCCTTTCAATTACGACGACGTGAAATGCGTGCATACACGGCAGTCGAATCTATCTGCCCACTTAATAGAACGAAATTAGAAACCATTAGCCCCACGTGTATCTTAAGCGTTGTATTTATAAATTCGGTGCGGTTCGAGTACCCAGTCTGTTCGGTACCAAGAACGTTCGATAATTAAGAGGATCGGGATAAAAATTCGCTAACGAAGATGAGATGCTTCGATGGTGATCGTGATCGAGCACTGCTTTCTCCACGGTCAAGTAGAAACGACTATGTGCCGCAGTCCGGCTGATCATGACGGCGCCAAACTACTTTTTCTGCCGTAATAGACCACGACTACTGTCCACATAGCCGGTGCGCCTAACACACTTCTACGTTAGAAATCGACGCGGAATTATTTTCCCTCTAAACCTGAGCCAAGAGGCTCTCGTTTAAGAATCAGCAACAGCTGTTGACAGGCCAGCAATAACATGTTTGCTCCCGCAAAAACTAACTAACGATTCTATAAAAACGAAGACTAAAATACGCGAACGATACGAAAACAGGAAAACAGACACATACCGTTCTCAACTGGAGACAGTAGGAGTATCGATGTTATGATCGTTTGATTTCTAATAACTCACCTTAGCCATCGTGTCGTGGGTGGGTCCTAAAGATTCGAATCCGTGAAACTCAGGTCCCGAGCCCGGACGTCGCGTTCGGTTGACATAAGTCTCGTTCTACGAAACGTCAACGAACGCATACCCGATCCGATTTATTTCTTCCTCCCCTGTCTCTCTGTTTTTCCACGCGACGCTTTTTCGAATCGGCGACCGTGTACAAGGTTTTCGCGAGGACACGTCGATTGCTCGCGAATGCCTTCACGCAGCGACGCTCCCGACGCCGGCGTCGCCGTGAACGACGTTATTGATCGGCGCCGTGCGAAGGCGTCGCTCTGCCCGCGAAACGAGAGAAGGGGGTGGAATTGCCGGTGACGGAGATAGCGCGAAGAGGTGGCGGTGGCACCCAGTGGAGATGGAAATGACAACTGAAGAGTCCGCCGCCGAAAATGATTCCTCTGGCCCGACGAAGGCTCTCTCTCCCACCCTCCCCTGTCCTAAAATCGGACCGGGACGTGATTTTACGAAAACAGGAAACTGTGCGACTCCCGTTGCATCCTGGATACATTGATGGGACTCGCCAAACCGAACGCGCTTCGTGATTAAAAAACACACCCCTCAGTTTTTATCTTGATCGTTAGTAAATTCGATCTAATCGAGTAGAAGAGAACGAATGGGCGAAGAACGATCGCTAAGTACTTTGAGAAACGTCTAACTTACCGGATCATCCATTTTCGTTTATCGATGAACGAAATTAAAATTCCATGTAACTGAGGCAATTGGCTGTTAATACTCTCGAATCAATATTTCCGAGGCACATGTTCAACACAATCGAAATGATTCCGTATCATTGAAGCGATGAAATCACGACGGTTATATCAGAAGTTTAATTACACACTGAAGATTTTAGAATCCGGACACACTCACACGGAAGTCGCAATGTTTTCATTCGTAATTTGAATTCGAGGATATTAACTGATCGCCAGTTACACCATCCAGAAGTTAAACTGATTCCCTCCGAAATTTCCGATTGATCGGTTTAATTTCAGAATGGTTCGTTCGTTGTTTTGGGAGTATTTACGGATCACGCCGATCGATCGATCGATCAATCGCCGGATTAATAAAACTGCGGTGTTTTCGTTGCACATAGATACACAGATAGGAAATATTTTTTATTTATACTCGGTAGCTGCACAACACAGTGATTACCAGAAATGCAGATACAGTAGCAGAAATGAAAAGTTCATTATTTTTCATCGTCATCGAACGGAGGCCGGTCGTAGGTGCTTTGAAAGATAGCCAGAGAAAAGGAGTGTACATTTGTTTATGATAATATTCTAACACGTACGAAGTCCCTCTTAAAGAATTTCATAATCTTAATAATGATAGCGGAGAGCTCTGTACGATATCGTAATTCTTCGTCGCTACAACAAATTTCTACCGTCGATTTTATGATACTTTTTACACGTGCGAATGATAACGTTATCTCGATAGACAAACGAACGAATGATTTTTTTTTTCTTTTCTACATTTCCCTACTTACATCACTTCGTTGATAAACTTTACAATTTACATTTATACGATATCGTACCTCAGATATAGTCAGCTTTTTATCATCGTAGTTGTCGTCTACAGTAATATATGTATAATGATATCGACATCCCAAAAGACGCAAAGAAAATAATTGAAGAGTAAGCCCGTAGCTATCGGCTCTAAATGATAAACGTGGAATGGATTCTGCAGATGTTCGTTTACACCTAAAAAGAATTTATTTACACTGACTGACATGTAGAGAGATCGCGAATCTCATTCCAAATCGTCGCCTGTACGTACACAGCTCTGTACGAGCGTAGGCTATTTTTTTTCTTTTTAATCAGCGAAGCTACTTTATCTTTAAATATATTTCTATATTTAGGCCTCGCCAGTACAGGCGGAAGCGTGATTTCGCACGTGACACGATCGAAATGTTTAAGCGCTATGTATTTGGCAAACAATGCGCTCGCAGCAAAACTCCTCAGTCTCCACTTTCGCACGTTATATATTTAGAAATATATATGTTTAAAAGGCATCCAAGGCACAACTTGGGCGGCAGCATTCAAAAAGCTCAGCGATTAAAAATTGGGCAATCGTCGGAGGTGATTTGGAGATGAGATTTGCGATACTCGGTGCATAGATTAACAAAAAAAATCGAGAAAGATACCAACAAAGAGTAAAAGCTCTAAATATAGTTATTACATATGTAACCATTCATACATACATATTGCGATAAAGCATTTTGTGCTCGTTACGAGTGCGACAAGCTCGATATACCTTAAAAAAAAAAGCTCGCATATCTCTCAGCTGGTGTACATCGTTTTTTTTTAAGTCTATCAATACCAATTACAGAGTCGTGTCGGCGACGAATGTTTCTCTTTCGCTTTTTAAACTAAGTAGGTTTTACAGGTGATCGCGAAATAATGGTATAAGTTGTGCGACAAATATATTTCTGATCGAACAATTTTTTATTTCGTTTGTTCCGTGTTATTGTCGTATTTTCTTGTACGAATTGGCTGTGTGTGTGTTCGTTATTTCAATCATCCGGATACACAACTTCGCGTCATCGATCGATCCAATAAAAGTGAATACTTTTACCACGGTTGATCACCCACGCGTATAATTTGCTAAATTTGGTAGCAAAGAATCACAGCTAGGTACATCGATAAATAAGTAACAGCAAGCGGCAGTGACTTTCTGTTCCACGAGTTCTCAAGTACTCTCTGTTTAAAGTTTACATGATCCGTATACCTTTTTCTCATACTTATAATTGAAATATATACGTAGAATATACATAAAAATAATTCGTAGAGCAATCGAAGAGTTTATCAGCATGCGGCAGAAGGTCGAATTCGAATATGCATCACAGGTATTACGCGTTCTATTGATCGTCTCAAAATTTTGTGCTTCCTCCGGCGATACCTGTGCATCTCGACGCAAAGTAAAAATGGGAGCCGATTTATTCGGTGGACATCAGCGTGTCACGAAATAAACGTTTCTTTATAAATAAGTAAAAGGACATAGGCAAGAGTGTTTCTTATAGTGATCTCCCAATAATTCAATTTTGCTCGACTGTAACTAAATACACGTACGATCCTTCTGGCTCGTTACCGAATGTATGCGACACATAATTCTTACTTAATAATTGTAAAAGTATCTCCTTTATAAAATTCGCATTCGTCACTCATTATTAAAACATATAAAATCAAACAACATATCTTTCGTAACTAAGTAAAATCCTTTTCCGTTCATGAAATGTGATTTTCGGTGTAATTTAAAAAAAAAAGAGAATGATGAACCGCATCACATACATACGATTTTTGGCACTTTTCAGAAATTCATAAAATTTTCGTGTTTCTCATATAGGAGACGTTTGACACCAATTTCAATTGCACGTAACGCTCTATAATTAATACATCTTTTTGTATGTACACGAATGTTTGTCTAATGTCTGATGAACACTTCTGAAAAGTGCGGGTGTGCTAACACATGATTCTTATATTACTCTGAAAATTTGACAAATAGCAAGTAGACGACTCTATGTTAGTTGTCACATTAGTTTCTTATAAGGCTACATCCAAAGGCTTACATTACACGAATGTTAGGAAACGTTGCAAAAGAAAGAGAAGTAATTTTTTTTGTATGCGCTCGTCAATGTTAATATCCCAATATGTCATCAGATACAGTTAACTTTTGAATGTCAACGTGAGATCAGCATCTGGTGTCTATATTGAAATATTAATTGCATTTACCATTAGTAAAATCGAAATTAATTACACTTAGATTATGGTCTTTATAGTAATAAATTTGAATAGTCTAAGGATTGTTTAGGCGTGAAACGGACGCTTAAAAAGCATACGCGTTATAGTCGGAAACTGTAGATGTTAAAATCTTATCAGATGTGAACCTTTACCGTTCTTTTTCATGTCGATCGATCATCGTCTTTTGCATAATTGAATAGTTGGTTCAGTCCTCAACTATGACTTATGTATAAGTCTCAAATGAATCTAACGAAGCATTCGTGATATAGCATTAAGAAATATTTCCATAACAATTTTCCATATAAAATAAAGTATTAGGTGTAATTGAATATGTTTGAAAAATATGATTCTTCATATATATATATATGTATGTATATATGTAAGACATTATATTTTTACTATAATTCTCTCCTATATAACAGCCAAAAACTTGTACAACTTTTTGTGTGTACATTGTGATCTTCGAAATTTCTTTTCTATCAAGGATCACTTTCAATACTTATTGACTCGTGTAATCCTTTATGTTCATAATTATATTATCAACTTTCATTATTTTTTTTTTGCCCGCATGAGGAAAGTCTCATAATTTGGGGGATATCTTCGCTTACCACTTTCATTATACTTTCTTAAATCTCTTATGATACCTAACTTACTATCGCACTATATTTAATAAAAACTGATCTTAAAAACTGCTCTTAAATCATCAGGTTTTTCCTACATTTCACTATTTTCTTTCCTCGCTATTTAACACGAACCGCGAATTATGATACAGAACTTATAGCATTATGGGGAGAGCCCATTTGCGTTAACACCTTATCCAACCATTGTAAGGGTCCATGTAAATGTGCTTCTATCCAACAGGGGGTAGACGTAACATCTTGCCTGTGGTACTCGGCGCCCCATCCCTTAACAAAGGACATTCTGTAACAGACACACACACACATGTATGCAGATTTTTTTTCAAACGGATCAGCGGATTATCAACTTCTGGATAATGAAGTTTACCTTATCGTACACATTTTCGTCAGTTCATAAACTGCTTCGAAACCGTGATTAACACTTTGCGAAAGTAACTGGGCGAACTCTTGATTATTAAATATCTTCAGTGAACATCCCGGTGGAATTTTACAAACTGTACTAGGATGAAATCCGTGATGATGATTGCAATTTCTAGATTGTACGAATATAGCAGAATCGGAGAGGCATTCCGCGTAAACTTCGCCGCCTACGTAATATAAGTGCACTCCTTTGCCTATATGTCTTCTCGTATTCTCGATGGTCGAATTACGGTTCACGTTGGACAGCTGTCCGAGACAAAAGCGATCAGAATTGTTGCTTGGATTTGTAAAACCGTCCACAATTACAGAGTGAGAATGGCAATGGAAAACTTCACCCACTCTGCAATTTAATTCGTAATATGCAATGGAGGCCCAATAAGGTGGTTCTTGATAACATACTGGAGCTACTTCACTAGATCCACTCGTGTCCATTGCCACTGGATCAGGTGGTGGCGATTGTCCAGGTTGTGAACCATCTTCGGGTGGAGAATACGCTGGCGGCGGAGTTTCTGGTAATCCGTTTGTACCGTAAGGACTTTGAGGGTTCGGTGACGTCGTGCTCCCTGGACTGGGAACAGACCCGACCGATCCGACAGAAGACATAGGTGACGTTGGATTCACGCCGGTAGTGGATCCAGCATTGAATCCACTCGAGGAGTATGATACGTTGTGCGGCATCGTCGGTTCTGTCAGTTGTTGAAACGGTAACAGCGAGTGTCCAGGGGCATATTCGGAGTGCCTAGGAACCAGCACCGGCGGTAGTACCGGGCTCTCCACTCTTTTATAATGATAAGGATTGATGCAAACTTCTTTCTGCTTGGCAGAGAACGGGTACTGACACAGTTCCAACGGTTTTAATTCGTGATGAGATTGCAAATCTGGCCATCTCCATACTCTGCAATATATTACATGCGGCAAGCCCTTGCGGTGTGAGACTTGCAATCTACCATCTAGACTTCTTGGAATCGTTACACATTTACTAGGAGTGCCTGGACAGCTCAGGGCGCGTTCCAATTCTTCTATTGCACCTTTTCTCTTCTTCAACTTCTTGACTAAAGAATCGACCGCCTTCTCTGCCCATTTCTCCTCTTCGTCTCCTTGTTTCCAGCCGAGCAACTTTTTTACAGCAGGACTAGTGAATGAAAACAAACTGTTCAGTGAAGACATAGGGCCAGAACTCGAGGATCCTTCTTCATCGTCCATTTTAAAAATACTGCAATATGTGAATGGTATCTATGATTTTCCTATGGTATTCCTGTTATGTAGAAGCCTGTAATAAAATGAAATCATATCAATTCTTTATCTCTTGCCCTCTTATCTACTTTCCAAAGGCTCAAATTAAGAAAGGACTATCTGTTAAACAAAATATTCTAAAATGCTCGAGCGTTTCATCAGTTATGATTACACGTCCAGTTGGCCAAGTAAAGAGATAAATATTATGATAAATTGTGAGGTTAGACGTTTCAGAAATTTGATACACAGGACCAGACATGAAATTCAACAAAAACGTAGAAAAACGTGAATTACGGGGAAGACGCGGGATAAAAATGGGAAGCAGCTAACAATAAGTTGTGTGTACACTCACGTAGAATTGCTTAGCGATCCAGCATTGTTTTTACTACGATCTCCCACTCTTGTTACCACATTCTTGACGCCAACCTCTTTCCATCGCGAGTCAAATGAAAATATCTGCTCGGATCTATCGATCTCCACGTTCGTTTTACCGTATCCTTAATGACAACAATCCCGCGAGCACAATAAATATCTAAGCAAACTTCCTCGCAGTATAGTATAGCAACTCGCAGCGTTCATAATCTTCCTCTCTCTTTCCCACTTTCACTCGGACCGCTCTCCGTCTTTCGATCTCCGTCTCTTTCCCTCTTCTCTTCCGCGGTGGAGATCAGGGCCTTCGCAATGAGCAATAGTAACGGAGGACTTCAGAATTTCAGGAAGTCGCCTCGAAAACTCGTACGCGTACTCACCAGGCTCGGGCAACTAGAAATGAATCTCGCGCGGTGGTGCGTATCAAACGGGATCGATCCGTTTCATACCTCGCGTGCTGCTTTTAATTACAAATATTTACAGTACGGTAGAAAGAACGAAACGTCGTGTAACAGTATTATGGCGTTGCGAGAACATGATGGCGCCTTGTTTACGAAGACAGTCCTGCAGAGCACTGCATACGTTTCGACGACGCTTCGCGTGTAGCGCCCGCGATAGATCAAATTGCTCCGATTTATATTAGAATCCCTGATCCGAGACTGACACCTCTTGCACGCTCAGTCTCCGACGTGTAAACATAATCTCGTATGTAGGTTTATGTACGGCAATAATATTCACTCATCGCACTACGCAACGACAATGTATTCCACGATAAGGGCTGATCGTAGATGACTCACTTGAAAAAAATGATACATTAGAAAACGTTACGAAACCTTACCGCGGCGGGCGAACGATCGTACGTATGCATGCGTTGGAAAATGATTTTTTTCGTCCGCGACTCGTTAACGGAGCAAAGTAGCGCGTATACGTAATAAAATTATTTCAATTCCTTGTCTCATTAGATCGATTAGAGTAAAAAAAAAGAAACAAAAAGCCGTGATTGGTACGAGTTAATCGCGGAATGGGAGGGAGATTTGATTGTTTTAATTATCGATCGTAACGATAAAATAGAAAATACGCTTCATTTGAATGATTAAAAAATTATTACACAATCGTATAAAACTTTGTACACGTTATTTTTATTAGTAAACGTACTGTTTGGCCAAGGCTCTTAAAAACTTCGCCTTCCGAATATTCGCCGCTTCCCTCTGTATCTCCTCGTTGTTGTTAGAATTTAGTTCTAATAAACCAATTACTTTTATCTGAAAACGACAGTTCAACGTGAATGTCTACAATTCCTTAATAAATTATCTCTGTAATTACTAACCGCTAATTGTTTCCTATGATGTTCACCGCGTTTCGTATGTAAATGAATGAGATACTCTAATATCGTGGTATCCCAAATACAGTAATAGTACGCGTCCATAGCATCGGCCGGAGCGGAGCTCTTCTGATCGCTCACAGCCATTTTAAATGCTAAAGTATAATCTACTTCCTCTAAGAATTGGCATAACACGACTGCTTGTGTGTAGCATTGTAAATGAGCGCAACATTTAATCATGCGCTTGTAAACCAGATCGTCGATCTGCGATCTCGGTACCGGCTGGCTGAACAGGTCGCTGGCTACCATAATAGCTTCCAAATAATATTTTATCGCACTTTCGTAATATCCTAGAGCTATATTTATAATGTTAATCATGCTGTCTATTGAACATGTACGATGGTTCTTTTTAACACGTACCGAAATTAAGATCCCCCATTAGTCTTAGCCAAGGAACATTACTCGGGTAATATTTCAAAGCTTGCGTTAATAATTGAAATAATAGTTCACCGACACTTCTGATGTTATAAGAATTTGCACTGCGAAGTTACATTGATATATTACAATCCGATAAGTTTTGCGTGGTATGAAAACTTACTTTGGTACACCGGCAGGCCAGAGGGAAAGATATTGCGTGTGCAATTCAAGGCTGGACTCATCACGCAAAACGTTTCGCAAACGCGCTAACAGAGAAATGACGACGGTAAGCACCATGGGCTCGCGTAATCTACTCAGAGTTCCACCGATACTGGCGATAACATCTCGTGCAGCGCTACCGGTGCTCGTTGCGCTGTTACCGCTGTTGCTTCGTTTCTGTGGCTGATCCCGGGCCGGTCCGAACGCAGCCAGAACTGAAACCGTTAAAATTACGAACTGATCCTGTGAAAATGTCTAAGCGATTATTTGAGAACTGACTCATGTCCCAAGCTTCTCTCGGAAATTTCCTCCCTCCTTTATATTTAACAATGTCTTGGCAAACGGTACTGACAGCCGCAGCAAATTCAGAGTAACTCCATCGCTTTTCGAAGTTCGTCAAATAATCCCATTCGGCCATATTCAAAAGAAACACGGTGCAATATTCGATTATTTCTTGACGCGGAATCACTTGATCCGTTGCATGTAACGCAGCAAGGCATTGCTTGCACCTCGCGACCAACCCTTGCGTATCGCCTAGAATTTTTCTCAGTTTCAGTCAGAGATCGATCACAATAGATCGTGAGACGCTTACATATATTTGTCGCAGGCCAGATATAAAGGCATCTCCAAATCTCGACGAGAAGACACTCCCAGTTGACTAATTTACATAGTTTAAATATCAGCGTGTTACCACCTTGCGCGTGCTGCTGCTGCGCCTCTTTTTCTAACACGTTTAAGATATCAATCGATCCTTCGAAATCCTTGGACGCCACCAATTCTCTACTCTTTGCTAGTAAGACATATGAGTAATCTTGAAGGAACCCTCTGGGTAGGGACATCACGACACTTTGCAATGGAATTGGTAGTTCCCAACAACTATTAACATGCCATAAAGGTTTCATTCGATGTTTCCCATCCAGACGTATCAATATTTCGTGAATTTCAGCGGTGTCGTACGTTTGTATTAATTTTTGTTCTAATTCATATATCTCTATGTTCCAACTTCCTGCAATTAGACTTTAATAATAAATCAACGTTACGAATTATGAAATTAACGTTGTTGTACATTCATGTATGTATGTACTAACTTGTATACGTTACGAGAGATATACCCCAGTCGTTCTTCAATAATAAATCGGGCAACTCAAGTTCTTCGACGTTCGCGGATCTCCTAATTTCTTCCAATTCTTCCGCATTAAACAATGTCATATATAATGGATCGCTAAGTAATTTCGAAGCGAATCCATCGATATTACTTACGTGCACGAGATAAAGGAGGTAACGGGAGATCCGCTGTTTATCTATAACACTAGCCTTATCTAAAACGCTTCCGAGAGCCTAAAGAAGTACGCGCATAATTAAAAGAAATATTGTCATGAGTTTAAGATGAAAGCAAATTTAATCTACCCAGAAAAATACGTCGAGTCCCTTGCTACCAGCTGCTTGTATCTCCACTACGTAGTCACCAAGTATGATACTCCCGTCCAGAATTTTCCTAACTAAATTTAAACATTGGATTTGGAGCAGTAGATCGCGAGTCACCACGATTTTCCGATTAACGGAACCTCCTTGTACATCGAGCTCAAGATTGTCCCTATAAACTTGAGGAATTTCTCTCGTAATGTTATCTGCTTGCAGGATTTGCAATATATTCTGAAAACAATTGCTATTTATAAGTAGATGAATGGATTTCTTCAATTCTTTTAATACATACAATATATTGATCTTTAATCGATGATTGCAACTGTTGCGTAAGGCTAGGAGTAATTCCTTCTACAGGTACTTCGCATGCTAAGCAACAACCGTCGATAAATTCCTTTTGAATCTTACAGTACAGCCTGTCTTCCGAGTTACTGAGATTGTGAAACAATTCCTTGGCTTTTGCAATATGGGATTTCGCTTCCTGGTACTCTTCCTTCAATAAATGAAACCTTGCCAGATCATAATGTATCTGAAAATGTTACGACCCATAATGTCTAGGATATTGTATCTTCCACGTGATGCACATACTTGGCACTTGAATTCATCTAAGTTTATAGGATGCATATTCTCCCAGTTTTGTTTAATCTCAGTACTGTCCTCGGTCAACATTTGAAAAGTTTCGCAGGATAACATTTTCGGACTTATGTCTGTAGCTTCAAGGACATTGTTTAAAACTTTCACACTGTTAGATACTTGAGGCTCTAACTTTCTGATTATGTCATCTATTATCCCTGGCGGTACATACGTTGATTCTTGGACACCTGGACTAATACGGACAATCAATGCATTTCAAAGAGAAGTCGAGTAAAATAAATTATCTCCAGTCTTACATGTGAAGGAACTGCAGCTTCGATTGCTTGTTATTTAAAGCTCTGTAAATAATGGCCCTTATGTGCCACCTATGATACAAAACAATAGTGAATAATAGTTGATCAGAAACAGATTGCATCGCAAACTCAGGTACTGTTGGTATTTCAACAGTTAAATCTGCTGTTATATAGAAGAGATCTTGCAGTAATGTCAATTGTATTGGCAAAGGCAATTTTCTTTCTAATACGTCCAAATCCCATTTTAAATAAGCTGCTACTTTCAAAGAGAGGATCTTCAGGGCCAGATTTCTGTGAGTCCACTTGTTTGTACTGCTAGGTTTTACATCGTTCGATTCTGCATCAATGATCTTCACTTCATTTTCCTTCTGCTCTGAATTTATTGTCATGAACTTAATTATTAAATCTGTTGCCGAGGGATCTGAAATCATTGTATAGGAATTAGTATCTTATTGAATAATAAATTAGCGAAGGTTAGATGAAAATTTACCGGGGAAAGGCTTAGATAAATGTTGTTGCAGCAACGATGGGTTTAATAAAAATTCGAACCACAGAATCGTGTCAGGAGATATCGGCACAGTGCCTGGTCTTAATAAATCCACATCCATCATTGCATTATTCTTAACATTAGCTTTCCAACATTCAGTACAGAGAATGACATGGACAGTATGTACTGTAACAGAGTTTATACATAAAGATGGTTCATTTTCTATAAAATCATTAAAGAATTGATATGGACAGGAAAATAGGCGTTCAGTAAGAAGATAGCATTGGGAACATTAATAAATTAATTCTACAAGTCGGTTTATTTGTTTTGTATTTCTTTGTCGTTATGTCAGGAACCTACTATTGATACTGTGTTGTGGTTCTCAGTGGACCTCGATGTTAAATGATAATTTTTAGAAAACAATGCTAATTGATTTACTGTCAAACGGTCAAATTAGAATTCCGAATCTCGACCGTATATTAAAAAATCATTTATGCTCTTATTGAATTCTTTATGCGATTCACAATTCGTGTCTTCAGAGTGGTAGCACTTGTATCTAAAGTTAGCTCCGTTAAGCGATTGGCTTTTAAATCTTGTTTACGTTAAAGTTCGAGAGTTCGAAAGTAATGTGACTGACAAGTGTACATATATAATTAGTAGTGGTCAAGTGTAGTTTCGTAGAGATTCAGTAAAATGGTACGATATGCTGCGCTCAAAGGTTTGTACGACGTGGAGAAAACTATCGGGAGCGGAGGCTTTGCCAAAGTCAAGCTGGCTACCCACGTTGCTACCGGCGAGAAAGTCGCGATCAAAATAATGGACAAAACATCACTGGGCGTAGGTGGCCTTTAAACATTCGTGAACCAAGTACGATCTGTTATAATAGCTTCTCGAATCTTTAGGATGATCTGCCGAGGGTCAAACTGGAAGTAGAAGCGCTGAAAACCTTGTTACATCAACATATTTGTCGATTGTATCAAGTGATTGAAACGGACAGTCATTATTTCATGGTGATCGAGTATTGCTCGGGGGGAGAATTATTCGATCACATCGGTAAGATAATATGTTCGACTTCTTGTCGTTTATTGCAGCAGTATTACACGAATTCTTTCTGCTTGCAGTTGAAAAGAACAGACTTTCAGAGTCAGAGTCACGAAAATTCTTTCGTCAAATCGTCTCTGCCGTGGCATACTTGCACAGCTTGGGATATGCTCATCGTGACTTAAAACCAGTAAGTTGGACGTTTCTTTGATGATTCAAGGATTATGCAAATAGCAAATGATATCATTCTGTGCACAGGAAAATGTGCTATTGGACAGAGAAGAGAATTTGAAGCTTATAGACTTTGGATTATGTGCAAAACCAAAAAATGGGATACATTCACATTTGCAAACATCCTGTGGATCTCCGACGTATGCTGCACCAGAACTTATACTGGGGAAGAAATATTTAGGTATCTCGCCTCTGAGATTTAACATTCGTCTATTAGAGATCAGATTAACATGTTTGCTTGATAGGTTCAGAGGTGGATGTCTGGAGCATGGGGGTTCTTCTTTACGCATTACTCTGTGGCTTCCTTCCCTTCGACGATAATAGTATAGAGAACTTATACAGAAAGATTCTTGTAAGGTTGTTCTCTACTGATTTTAACTAAATCTTGTCTCGAGCATAATTAACAGTAGCTTAATTCCAGAGCGGTAAATACAATGAACCAAGCTGGTTATCACCCAGCAGCAGGAGACTGATAAAAGCAATGCTGCAGGTAGATCCAAAAAAGAGAATTACTGTTCAGGAACTGTGCAATCATCAATGGATTACAACAGGATTTCTTAATCCAGTCTCGTTTGTACATAAAACTAACGTAAATGACCTTCTCTTTCAATTCTCACCGATGTACGAGTATGGCAATGTCTTAATAAAGGAAATACATTTACAGTTTGAAAAGGATGATGATGTGCTAAGCACTATGTCCGCGATATGCGGCGAACACGCATCAGATATATGGAAGAGGCTTTTGAAAAGCGACAGAACCGATTACAAAACTGCTACGTATCTCTTGCTTCTAGACAGAAAGCTTCGTGGACTTTCACTGCGAATATCAACTTCTGCAAAATCACATTTTAAGTCAGAGGTAATTAGAATACGCATTGCATTTTACGAGCTGGTCAGTGTTACCTTGCATTATTTTTGAAATTTACAGTGCGGAAAAGGAGGTAACAACATTATAACTAAACTTGATCGTTCCCCAAGAATCAGACCTGTGAGGTCACCAGTAATCGATCCTACGTGTAAAACTCCTGAGACCAGTAAGTTCCCCTCACGTTTTCGTGTTTCTTAATTAATGTATCGTTCTTACATTTTAAATTTACCCAGCGAACAATTTCACGGAGCCGCAAGTGCCTACGAGAAAACGACTTAGGAGTAAAGACGAAGACGATGTATTCTCCCCTGGTATGTTTCGCAAAATGACATTTATTCTTACAGTAATAATGCGTAGACACATGTACTTTTTATCATTATATTTATATGATACCCGGTAAATAAAATTGTATTCTCAGTAGACTCCCCTCCTATTAGTACCGCTTTAGGTAATACATTTTCTAAAGTTTACTTCTAATTAGGTGATGCTAGCATCACCTAATTAGAAACTTTAATGAAAGTTTCCAAGTAGCATAAATTGCTGTAGCTGCGTGAAAAGCAGATAATTAGTCAGAGAAGAGCAACGACTTGTGAACAAACACAATTTCAAGTTACAAGTAGCTAGAATTCTTCACCCCTTTCCCTTGCAAACGACACAGTAGCTTTGTCTTCTTACCTCCGTCTTCTGTCTCTCACACGACTTGAATTTTGCGCACAAGTAGCAATCGATAATTGATCAAAATTATTACAGTTCCCGCGAAGAGAACCGTAGAAAGGGACACGATCGTTGTTACCCCGACTAATACTCAAGCACCCGAAAGCGCGGGGGAAAGAGTCAGGTATTTACATTACGGCATCGAAATAATTTTACTGATGATATTAAAAAGAAAATATGTTTAGGGGGTCACAATCGTCCACACCGGGAAGTGCAAGAAAAGTAATAATGGGCCTGGAGCGCGGTCTGAATCGCGTGCGCTGTGTCCTCACACCGAAACGGCGCGTGAAGAATGAAAATATCGATCCCGACCAACCCAATGTACTCTCCGGAAAGGTCGGTACTCGTTTACTCTTTAATCGTCGTATAGACTGATTTTTATTATGTACTATTTTTTCAGGGTCTCTGTAACGTATCGTCCACGTCCAATGATGATCCGAAATACGTCCTCTCTCAACTCCGCCGTGCGCTTCGGCGTAAAGGAATCATGTGCCACCAGAAAGGGTGAGTGCGAAACGTCTGAACATTTTAGCTTGAAGCAATCGTGTAATTTCTTATTTCTGTAGATTTACCCTGCAAGGTGAGACGGAGGACAGCGCAGAAGATACGTCGCGACCGATCACATCGAGAAACGCGTGCTCCTTCGAATTAGAAGTATGCTTGCTGGAGGGAATCTCAGAAAAAAAATTGGTCGGAATTCGAAGGAAAAGATTGAAGGGTGACGCATGGGTTTATAAACGGGTCTGCGAAGAAGTTCTAGCATTGGCGGCTGAAGACCTCTCCGCGGAACCGGAAGATTCGACAGAATCGAAATGTCCTATATAAAGTCTTCCTAACATGTTCATTCTTAACAATCATTTATAAATCATGAGAAAACTATCCTATCTTGATCTCCGTTAATTATCTCAACATAGATAGTGTTATCCGATTCGGTAGATACTTGGCAGCTCTTTCGAACGTATCTGCACCGGGCGTTTTCTTCTTAGAAGGAATAATCACGAAGAGGTTTATAACAGGAACACGAACTTGCAATTCCGACGAGGATTAGATTGTGTAATATTTATACAGATATATAGATTTTATTTTTTCCTGCATAGCAGTAAGAAGTTAACGATAAGAATATTTTTTATAAGGGTGCACCATGTATCAAATGGCTAACAATTATAAAACAAATAAAATACTTAATTCATACTTTTCTATGTGTAAGTGTTAGCAATTGGAGCTCGATCACTGAGTCTGCCACAAAGGAACTCGTCGGACCTTCGCATCGGGATATGTAAAGCTCTATTTCGCGTTCACCGGGGATATAAAGTATCGCGGCTCGTTTGAACCCGCGGTATAGGAGCTACCATGGACAGGGACGGGTTATAAAATCACCACAAATCGATCAGCATAAAGTGGAGCCGCGTGCACTTTAGTTTACGGCAGTCAAACCGACCTTTTATCTCTGCCCGCTCAATAATCGCCGGCACTCGTAGCCAACCTTGGTCGAGCCTATTCCGCCGAGCGTTCGATCGCCGCACACTTACTTCCTCCCTCGAACATCGATCGAGACAAAGGGAGGTCCGGAGAAAATAGAACCCTTCCACCGAAAGACGTAAACGCGCCGGGATAAAGACATTAAGATCTCCCTCTGGGCATTAGAACAAGCTAAAACGGCTTCGTTGGGCGTTCGACTTTTATGGGCGTTGTTCGTTTCACAAACAATGCCAGATTTGAGGAAATGAATTATTCAATGATAAATCGAACCGGAACAGGATTTTTTCACTTCTTGGAATTCCAGAGCATTTCTCGCTTGGACGAAATAGAAGTATTTATTAATTAATTATTGACACTAGCCAAAAACTTTTTATACAGAAGTTGTAGGCACTGACGTCTACTGAAAGGGAGATTCTATGAATTTTTCATCTAACTTCGATATTTAATGAGTTACATATGATTATTTGGCATTTTATTGATGTTGACAAAATCCGACCATCCCAGCGTCGAAACGGCGAACTTTTGGAAAAATGTTTCGTTTTTCCTCAATAACTCCTAAACCCTTGGAGATACGGGAAAATTGCATAGGACATTTCTTGTAGAGGACGACGAGATCTACAATTTCTGTATAAAATTATTTCGCTAACGTCAATAGTTTACGAGATATTTGCAAAAAACGAAAAAACAGTTTTTTGCAAATTACTCGTAAACTATTGATGCTAGCGAAGAATGTTTATACAGAAATTGTAGATCTCGTCGTTCCCTACAAAATGGTTC